AAATAAATAAATAAATAAATAAATAAATAAATAAATAAATAAAATCTTTTTAAAAAAAGAAGTTAAGACCCAGTCCTCATAGAGGCTGGCATGAGACATGCTCTATAGGAACACACTGTGTCTGAAAGAAGGTCACATTCAGAAAGAATCACCCATAAAGACGTACCAAGACGTAAATGTTTACCTATGATGTGGTTCTGAAATGTGGAATCTGCAATTGTATCTTCATCCTCTTGCAGGTTTTCACTTGCTTCTTTTATCTGCAGCAACAAGAAAATACTGTAAGTTCTTATTTATTATAGTAAATAGATTGTTCACAATCCTCAGAATGATGGTTCATTCTGTAACAAATGTGGGTATGTGAGTGTGTGTATACATATATATGCATATGTGTATACACATATATACATATACATACATAAATATGTGTATATATATATACACACACATATATGTGGATGTGTATATATATATACACACATAGGTGTGTGTGTGTGTGTGTGTATATATATATATATACACACACATACATAGATGTATATATACATACATAGATATTCTCTTCATTCCACTTTTCCCTACTCTATCACTTGGCTGTATCACAAGTTTTAATTATAAGAACAAGAGCATATTTTCAGAAATATAACCCCCGACCTGAAAATGAGGATTTACAGTGTACCTAATTCTCCATAAGATTTTAAAGATACAGCTTTGGCTTTTAATACTCATAAAGTCAGTAACACAGAGCTGTTAGGGAAAATTAAAGTCAAAGGAAATATAATTCCTCCAGAGACAGTGACTTCTACCACAAGTTATTTTAATAAGAAGAAAGAAATATACTTAGATCTCCCTACCCTTTCCTGGAATGTAACTCTCTAAGAAAATGATTTCTTTTATTCTTTCTATGATGAAACATAAGATGACTATGATGCATGCTTAGTGAACTAGAGCAGTGACATATTTATATCGATTTTTTAGGTCAAAAACATTCCCCTTATATTTCAGCTGAAATATCCAGATGCTGAATGGGGTAGCATTTGGCAGAACTCTAGAGAGACCTGAATAAGTCACAGTATTTTACAAATGAGAATTCTGAGATCCAGCAAGTTTCCTTCAACATATTGCAGGTGGAAATGCTGGGATTAAAACTCACGGCCCTTCCCTCTCAATCTAGTAGCAGCAGTAACAACAATGTTACCAGTATGAACCATAATTTAAAAGGCATACTCTGAAATACTACGGGTCTGAAATACTACGGAGGATGTGCTGTTTAAGCTCTTCATGCCTGTGATCTCAAAATCCTCAGAACGGGGCTAGGTGCTATTCTTAGCCTCCTCCTGCTGAAAAAACACACAAGTAATGGCCAAAGTGATGGAACCAGGATTCAAACTCAGCAAAACTGACAGCAGATTTCTGTTCATTTGAGGGAAATTTGTTTTTCTCAAATTTCCATTTGAATATGCCAGTAGACTTGGCCTCAATTTCAAGACAGCTGTGGTCCTTGGTGGAATGACCCTGAAACACTCTTTTAAAATACATCCCCTTTGGTCATCTGGGCAGTCAATGATAATGATGTGAACTGTGCACTGAATGCAATGGGGTTCTGCTTAGGCACATACATTAGAGGCCGTCAGTGTATTTGCTCAGGGGCTTGAGCTGAATGCCAAGAAACTCTTATTTCATACTTGCAATGTAGAAAGTCATACGGTTGCATACTGACCTTGAGCTAGATTTAGCTTTTGACTTTTTACCTATTTTTCATATTTAATGGAATAAGACCAATTATTTATATTTTATAACTGCAGTTCCAGTATCAGAATGCAACTGGTGCTTATTCTGGACTTGCTGATAGGCAGAAGGTGGCAGACTCAAGAGAGTATGGAGATGGCTTCCTGAACCCGACAAGGAGAGATCAAGGGTTAAACATCCAGAGGCCATGTTCATCACTTTTTCCCCCCATCAGCTCTCTGCTCTGCAGGCACTTCCCTGTTTCTTAGCACATCCAGCGGAAGAAAGTTAGGAAATGGGGTGAGGGGTGGGGCGGGGAAGACTTCTTCAACAGTCTGTGGACACTTCAGTAGTGGACATTTATGGATAGCAGAGAAGAAGCATCAGCAAGGCTAACATGCTACTCATTTGCCTTCCAAGGTTTGCCCAGCTCAGTGATCTGTTTGTGACAAGGCTATCAAAAGACCCACTGACAAAGGGATCTCAAACCACCTACATTTCCATTAACAACCCAACATGAACCTTTCATCCTCATTTAGAGAGACATCAAGGAAATCTTTTTATACTCTCAGCCCATACCAACTCTTATGAAAACATGTCTCATGTTTTCCCTTGATTGTTATGTAAAATAGTATTTCCTTTAAGTTCTTCTACATTGATCTATTTTAAACTTGAAGGTATGCCCTGCTAACCTGCTGGCATGTGGGGAATCATCCTATCAGTCTGTGAGATTCTAAACTAAAGAAGCCAATAATTAAAATAAGATTCTCATCTTGTAGAAAGGAAAAGAGGCTCATACAGGGTTAGTGATCTCTTCAAGGTCACAAAGGATTTCGGTTTTAGAGTGGGTACTTCTGGCCCCTATTCACTGCCAAAATTAAATTTTTCAGAGTGTGCCATATTGTTACAGTCATCCTTCCCAGACCTTCCCAAGAACTACTATTTTTTTGTTAGTGTCTGGCAGTTAGATATGCAGGCAGTATTCCATGTATACATAAACTGTATTTTTATTTTAAGAGTAGCAAAAATTTTCAGAGACTGTGTGTGTGTGTGTGTGTGTGTGTGTGTGTGTGTGTGTGTGTAACTGCTCTGCTTCCCTTCCCTTCTGTTTTCCTAACCCATCTGTGGAACTGAACCACCACCTTTCTCCAAGTATCATATTGAGGAAAGAAAAAAAAAGCCATCCTATGGTCCTACCTGTCTGCTCCTTCTCAGAACTTTCCTAGGGCTTTATGTGCTTAACAGCAAATGCTACATATGGCCTCTGGGGACTTATCAGAGGAACTTATCAGAGGAAAGGCCCCTAGTTCTTTCAGCTTTCCTGGGCTGATGACCCAGGAGGAGCAGATGACCCATGAGAGGAAAATCTGAAGAAGATAGGTGAAAAATCAGCAAAGGAATGGCAAATGGGGGAGTGCCTTAGAATGGCATACTTGTTGGCTCTAATTATCTATACAAACAGATTGCAATGCAAAGTGGTAATTTAAAAAATCCATTTGCCTATGGAAACGAGGGGCATAATTTATTTTGGCAGCAGATTCCCCTTGCTAATTACATTTTTCATAGGCTGAACTTAAAATTAATTTTCACTCTTGATCATGCAGTGGCTGGGTATTGGTGAGAGGTTGTGGAAACTTTCCTGGGAGTAAGGGGCTGCCAACTCAAGATTAAGAATTTGCCAAAGATAGGGACAATTGGGACGATCTTCATGTGACGAAGCACTTCAAAGAAGGGAATTTTCACAAAATCAGGAAGTTTGGCTCAGAAAAGAATGGTGGTTAGAGATATAGAATTTTCTCAGCCATTGTTCGAACAGGAACTGATACAAATTAATGTCAGCAATATCCTATTCGGTAAGAAGTAGCAGGTAACTCAGGCAATAACTATGGGCTTTTGGTTAAAAAGCTGCTATCCATAAATGTCCACTACTGAAGTGTCCACTCTTGTCTACCTTTTGGGCTCTGCAGTTGTAGTCAAGAACTGTACCAAATACCAATCTCTAACAGGAAACCATTAAATGTCACTGTGCCCATTATATTCTACTAACCCCTATCATTAGAAAGGGCAGGGAGGAAGGAGCTTACAAAGGACCCTAGAGGAAAATGGAGAAAATAATTCAATAGTGTCATATATATATGACATTACATATATATTATGTATGTACATTACATATATTACATTTTACATATTATATATATATATATATGTAACTTCAGAATTAAACCCAACATTTGGGGACACCCTTCATTTGGAATTCTGCTTACATTTCTTCCCTGACTCATTCTAACATGAATTGCTTCCCAAGAAGATAACATTTTTTGGTCAAAGTTTACTGCAAATGAAAAGAACATAATGAAACTGAGACAAGAAGTGATTTTTGGAAGGAAAACTCCAGAAGGCATTACCTTTAGAAAAGTTAGTCATTTAGAAAAATTTGCAGGAGGAGGGCAAAATATGCATACTTCTTATTAGCATCAAAATAGCATTTAGAACAGAATTGCTCAATTAAGGATGCTGAAATTATAACATTTTGTAGAACTTAATAAGATAACAATTTGCTTAATTATTGTACTATTTTATCCTATTTCATCACCACAGTACTATTTTAATGGAATAGTATTTGATGCTTTTTAATTAGCATATGTGATTTTTTTTTTTCAGACTATGGGACAATGGGTGAAAAGAATACTCATAATTTCAATTAAAATACCCATACTGAAATGGCCATCTCTTCCCAGCGCATGGTGAAGGTATACGGTCTCATTGATTTGTTAACGATTTTTATTTTGTCCAGTGATAGTTAAATAGGAGCCTGGAGCTGCCTTCCTTTGAGACTTCTCATTTCACAAGATTATCTGACTCCACAGGAAGGAAGGACTTATGACATGCCGCAATAGAGCACATTTCTTTCTTCCTTATTTACTTAATACTGATGCAATCTTTCCTGGGGATGCCTTTTCCCCTCTTATAATGATTTTATATAATTTAAGCAAAAGTATAGAGTAACATGGCCCTTGTCTAAATTACACAAAAATTAGAGCTAAGTGGTCTGTAAATGATGGCCTAAGTGGGGACATAAGCCTCTAATTAAGGCTCTGAAAGGAGAAAAAGATTTAATTCAGCAAAGAATTAATGGGACTTTTACGCATATTTTAAAATGTATCTAGCAATCCTGAAAATGGATATGGATACGCAGTTACTAGCAGACTAAGTGGAGGTCGGCTACATACATTGTTGTATGCATGGAAATAATCTTTGTATTATAATCACCACAGATTAAAATAACTAAAATCCCTGAGGACCCTCATAACGAAATATAGTCTTGGTTTGTAAAGGGAAGAGACTGTGATATAAGATTTTGAACAGTGACTTTATTAAGAAAAAAAAATGTGATATGTAATGTATTATGTGCAGCTATTGTTTTCATCCCAAGTGACTACAATGAGAAGAATCTTTTGCAACACAGTTTAAAATAAGCAGATAGCAAATTTACCTTGAGCCCTAGTAGGGGAAAATTCCCTCAAACTCTGAATTTTAAGAGGTTCATGGGTATTCCCATCAATGTGCTATGGTATTAGAATATATCCTATTTTGCATCTAATTTCCTTCCTGTGTAGGCTTATAACATATAATAAATAGGTTTTCACTGGTCGTCTTGTACTAGTCCCCAAGGAGACTATGGCAATGTCCTCTCTGAAATTAGTAATTCCACGTTGATAATTATGGAGATGAAACAAAAAAACATTACATTTTACATTAAAAAAAAAAAAAGACTGGCTGGTCAACTATCCAGGTTAATAATATTCCTCTGTATGGAAAAGCTTCCCAGCATGACTAATTTCCTCTTGTAGCTAACTAGAAAAAAATTAGCATATCCCAATTGATTATGTATTTTGGGGTGGTTAGGGAATCTTTGTACTTCACAGAAAATAGTAAGAGTGTTTCTTCTAGATATTCTGGAAGGACTAAAGGACACTTATTACTACACTGTGAAAGACTGAAGACGGAAGAACGAAAAGCACAGAAATCACTTTAGCATTAGGAAGTAACAAGTAAGGAAAAATGAAATTGTAAAAGCCAAACAGAGGGTCTTTTTGTTTTTTTGCTATTTCTATGCAGTGAAGATACACCCTAAGCTGTCAGAACCATATTAAATGGGGCATAGTTAAATTGAGTGCCTCAGATAAGGGGCTCTGCCAGGCTATCAAAGTTTTAGATCAGTTGGATTGACTTTCTGGCATATTGCACATTTCCACACGTTCATTCTCTCTCTTCCCTTTCAGTGACACTACAAGGGCAGCCTTAGATATGCTTATAATTTGTGATTTTTTATAATGTAGGGGACATCTACGTTTTCAAAGAAGGGAGGATACCACGGAAGCCCAGAAGAGAAAAAGGGGGAAAAGAAAAAAATAAACAACCTTCTGCAACAAACATAGTTCCCATAGGATTTCCGAGAGTTTGATATAAAAGACGTTATAGCTCTTCAGGGTCCAGAGCTCTTTGAAGGAAAAATGTGCATTTGTTGTCAAATTGAAGTATGTCTATGAAATTCTAAGGAACCCTAAACATCAATAAGTTATTAAACTAATAATTAATAACTAATAATGCCAATCACGATTACTCCTAAAATCGCCTCTAAACCACTCCAGAAAAAAAATGTATAATTACCAGGTTTTCCCTAAGAAAATAGTAGCAGGTACCATACTTTACAATCTCTTTGATTGCAGTACAAAAATATATGGATACAGTAATTCTGTAAAAAGAATATTTTTGTTTATGCGAGTGCTTCAGAACTTACATAAAGAAACAATGAACATCACCAAATCAATTATGCAAGAACAGAAAGAATATAAGGAGACTCAGTGCAAATTAAGGTAATTTTAAAACAAAACTATTATCTGAAACTAGCATGTCCTAGGGAAATAGAAAAATGCCCTTTTTGCCCATTTTTTAAAGGAAATTACCCCCTGAGTTCTGGTTCTCACAATTAAGAGACTGAATAATAGGGAGTCAAGTTCCAAAACAGATTTCTTGGTGAGAGGAATTGGTACATAGATAGAACTTCCAGAAAAAATGAACAGTGCTTAAACCAAATCATCGAAATGGCCAATATTCTCTCCAATTGTTTAGCACTTTTAGTTTCCATAATCACGTCCATTCCTTTTTGTGTCACTGGGAACGAAGGAAGATATGATCCAAACAAATCCCCTGCACAAGAGTATAATTTGAAGATGACACCTGACACCACAGTGTCATTTGCCGGTACTCTGTCTGGTTCCACCGTCCTTCTGAAAGGGGACTAACACAGCAGCCTTACTGGAGGGAGCGGCCCATTTGCAATCTCGCCGCCACCTCTCTGCGAGAATCTGTCATCAGCTTTCTCTCCTTTTTCTGGAACTACCACCCCCCCTTCTCTTGCTCATTTATTTCCAGCAGCAAAGGCAGAAAGAACCCAAGCAGGTTCATTTCAGAACCGGGATGGGTGGAGCACTTACCAGGGAGCCTTTCGGTATTTCCACATCAGCTTTGGTTTTGATGTTTTTCTTGTGGTTTCCTTGAGTGCTCGCAGAGCTACCAGTGAGACAGGAGCCCTGGGAGCTGCCCTTTAACACATTCCTGCAGGAAACATCATTTGATCCACTTTCTGTCTGTTGAGCTGCTTTCTTATCAACTCTGCAGGTAGAAAGTGATTCCTCCGATAAATTACATTGCTCTTCTTCAATCACTACTTTTCCCAATCCTTTCATGTTTAAAGTAAGCTCTTTGTATCTCTTTGTCTTTAAACCTTTGAGCCATAAATGTTCGTCAGTGGCCTTGATCACATCTTCATCTGACATTCCAGTAGTGTGTCAGTTTAGATTTGACAATAATTTATTTTTATTTTTAACTGCTTGTGAGGTGGGGGGAGGAGGGAACAAATTAAAAGCCACCGAGGAGTGATTGCTAAATACACGTCTGGCTTCAGATCAGCGGGAAATGTAATTACCTCTGCAAAGTTTCTAAGTATACGTTTGCTTGGTACAATCAGTGAGGTCGGCATACCTTAAAATGTATGTATAATTTTCTTCCATTTCATGCCATGTGGGTACATTCACAGTTCCAGTGTAGGCTGAATTTCTATCAACCTTGATAAAACTTACCATTCTTTCATTTCAAAGACCATTGGTTTGGTTAACAAAGTAACATGGACTAAATTACCATTTTATTGCTAACTTTTATTTCATTGTTTAAATTCTGGCTAATGTAGAAAAGACTGCTACTCTGCATTTATGCTTGTATGAAAACATGCTTGACTGGGGTTTAATGTGCAGGAAGTCAACAGCTCTCCCTGCTTTGGGGGGGATCCTTGACAGTGGCCCCCCTCCCCCCATCTTCCCTAACACATTACCTGTTCAAAAGTTCCGTCATAAACGTATCTTTTGTGGAACACATAACAGGGCTGGGTCTATTCCTTGGTTCAAACTTCATTTGGTCATAAATGTCTTGCGGTGTTTTCAGATCATTTTTGCTTTGTAAACTACGGTCTGGACTCTCCACCAACTTGGTGTTCTTGGTAAGTTCATTTTCTATTTTACACTGCAGCTCAGGCTTCTTTTTCTCTTTTTTCTTCTCTGATTTTTGTTGTTTGTTTCCAAACCCCAAACCTTTTGCATCTTTTTTTTCCACTTTGGTTTTGGAGACATCCATTTTCCTGCCACTGAGAGCTGGAAGTCTACTCCTCCGAAAACCAAACCAGCTGGCAAAAGAAGGCCCGGGCTTTGGCTTTGCTTCCACAGAGGGGGACTTTGTTTGCACTTGGCCCTTTTCCACATTTTCCTGAATGCACAACATGACCTTTTCTTCAATTGTGGGTGAGAGGGGGGTTTCGGGGCTCACAGCGCCAGTCCTGGCTGTAGAAGTATCTGGACACCTTCCAGAAGTTTCTAGCTTGGAGGTCATGCTTGTTTCAAAATTAGTTGGACGCTGCATCCTCCCCGGATTCTGCAGGGCTCGTGGGCAGTCTGTTGGGGTGGGTGGGCATCTGTAGGGATTGCTGCTTGGTTCCTCGGGGAGAGCCTCACTGGGACACCCTCCCTGGGTGTAGCCCTGCTCACCTTCCGTTCCGCACGGGGCGGGGGGCTCTTCAGATTTTGCAGGGACCCTCAAAGGCAACTTGCTTGGGCTCCCATGCTGGCTGCTAGAGCTGCCTGCACTCCCTAGGGAGTCTTGCCTGGAGGAGGGATGCCCCAGAGGCCTCCCCGCACCGGGGAGACTGTCAGACATGGGGGCAGAAGGGGTCTTGTTGGGCGAGCCTTCGGTGGAGGAACTCTGCCGGGTGAGGGAATTGCCTCTCTCAGCAGTGTTGGTGATAATCTGAGTTCGAACTCTGCCGGGCCCTTCCATGGGGGGTGTAGGGGGCTTGTCTCCTGAGTGAGTGCTGAAACTCTGGCTGCGGGCTTTGGCTCCATTCATGCCTAGGGCTGGTTTTAGGTGTGGCTTATTGGAGGAAAGGGATCTTTTCACAGACTTGTTTTCTACCCCATCTTTTCCATCAGCCCCAGGGATGCTGTTTTCCAATGACTCTGGCATTGCTGTTTCCAGGTGAAGCCCTTCAGCCAGACTGTCTTGTGCCTGAAAACCCAGTGGAGTCACATTTCTTTCACCTGCTGTGGTCTCCAGGCTCACTGGATTCCCGGCGCCCTCGGGCTTAGACTTGCTCACAGCCACAGAACTTTTAGACGCTTCATTCAGACTGTCTTTTTCATGTTTCCCTGGCACCGTGGAGCTTTTCCTGAGCAACTGGGGAGACTTCATGAGAACCTTGAGCCCAACTGGGAGGCGAGTTCTCAGGCCTTTCTCATGAGCGTTTTGACAACCATGTGGGGTGTTATGGCTTTTGGAGGATGGTGATGATGAGTGACTGCTAACCTGAGGTGATGGTGACTCATTCACCCCTAAGAAGGAAGGCTTAGGTGATGTGGGGACACAGTCGTTCAGTTGTCCTTTTCTTCCCGGAGACATACTATTGGAGGACAGGATTTCCAGTGGGTCATGGGCTGAAGGACAATTCTTGGGAGTTGGTAACCCAGTGTCTGTCTGTGTGGTCCCAAGCGTTTGGTGAGGTGGGGTTTTGGGGACACCTCTCTTTGGAGAGACCTTTGGGGGCCCTGGGGTCATCACAGCAAAGGAGCTGGAGGGGGTATGCGTCGAACATCTGGTTTGAATCCCTGTTTCTGTGGAGGGCGGAGGGTGAGTGAAGACAGGCTTTCTGAAGGCCACAGAAGCTTTCTTCCCCGGCACTTCTGCCATGATCTGATTAGAAGAAATAATAGGAACAGAGGATCCTTTCAGAGGGGGTGGTTTGTATACGGTCCTTGCTGCTTCACTGGGGACCCTGGTTTCTGGCTTGGCAGATGAGGGTGGTGGCAAATAGTCATAACTGGGCCTGATGAGAAGGGAGCCTGACCTGTCTGGAGGCGGTGGGGGGGACGGGGACTTCCTCCCTGCCTCTGGCCCAGAGTCACAGTGTTTGTCCCTCGTCGGGGATTCTCCATTGTCACCAGGCTCAGTGAGGGACTTTGGCAGCAACTGTGACGCTGGGATCTGACTCTTGGAGCACGGGACCCAATCCTTTCTGCTGGACATTTTGGAGCCATGAGGCAATTGGCTGGGGTATTTTGGAATGTGTGAATCTGGCCGTAAATCAAAAAGGGGCGCCAGGCCCTCAGTCTTCTTAAACCGTGAGAGTTTCCCAGGAGCTAAGGCTGGTGATTTCTCAAGAGACACTGGGCCAGAGGAGGGGACCCTCGCGGAGGCTTCGGGCTCCCTTATTCTTGATTTCTGAGGTGAAGCCTTGCCCCTGGCAGGGATTTTTGTCAGACTCTGCTTTTGATAGATACCCATGGACACTGAAGACCTGGAATTACTCTTGCATGACAAGTTGAGTGTTGGTTTGGCCGGTCTTCGTCGCTGAGTACTTTGCGTTACTGTCCTGGGGCTGAAAGAGCCACTGGGTGCCACAGCAGCATTATCTACGTCACCTTTTGGAATGTTTTTCTCAGTTTCCTCTTCAGGTCTCTTTAGGAAAGTGTAGTCTCTCGCAGCAGCTCCTGGCTGTAAATGAACAATTCCCTGAGGTAAAAGTTCAGTGTGTTCTGCCTTGGGCCCAGTAGGGGCCTGGTTGATGGAGATCTCATTTCTGGTAACAGTGACAATGCCCGTCTGGTGAGAGCTGAATTCAATGGGCTCGCCATCGTCCGCATCAAATATAACAGTAATGCATTCTTCTGAAGAAGTCCTTTTTACAACCCTTTGCTGCTTAATGAAGCTGAACGTCTTTGGCCGACTCTCTAAGGGGATGGGCACTTGTTTTTCCTCCTCATCAGGAGACCCAGTTTGAGATTTTCCAAATCCCAGGAGGATGTCCAGATTCTCCATGGACTTGTCAGTGTCAGCAGTCAGTGACAAGTCTGAAGGGCTTTTCTCGTCACTGCTACCTATGTGCAACTCGTCGAGGGCTTCATTGTCATCGGTGTCTGAAAGCTGGAGACTGAGAGCCACACAGCCAGAACCAGGGCCGCGTGGCTCCCTCTCTCTCCGTACCTGAGGCACCTGCATGCTTGGGCACAGCTTCCTCTCCAAGGGGCATTTGCTGGCACAACTGGTCAGCTTTTCAGGCCTTTCCCTGGGGTAAACTGAGGACGCGCCTTCTGAAAAGTGTTTTCTATTCAGCTCCCAGCCAAATAGGCTGTCAGAAACACTGTGGGTTAATTTACGACTGTGCAGCCTGCAGCCCTGGCTTGGAACCGCCTGGAGCAAGGCTAAGGAGGAAGAGTCCTCATCGGCATCATCGTGGGAATCTGTGTCATAAACAAATGTCTCGTGGGGCTCCTTGCAGGGGCTCCTCCTGTCAGCCGGTTTGCAGGGGGGATAGTCCTTGAGGCTGCTACTCTTAATTCCTGGTGAATATATCCCTTCATTGGAGTTCATGCAATCTTTATAACCCCATTTGGTTATCACTGACGGGGGTTCAAGTAGCACTTTTCGTTTCTGTAGCTTCCTCAGTCCTTCCAAAATGTGACTTTCCTTGATACGAGTTGGAGGTAGTTCATCTGTAGGACTAGCAAAGCCACTCGGGAGCGAAGAGTCAATACTTAGCCTTTTATCCCAGTTTTGTGATGATTTCTAGGAAAGAAAAGTAGGTATCAGAAATCACTGAACCATGTGGATCACAACTGTAAAAAGGAAAAGTCTGTCATTAGACTCGATTCTAGTGGTTAAGTATTCATCTATAAATGCATATTTTAATTAATTAATGCAAATTAATCATTAACTATGCAGCAAATCTTTGCTTTGCCAGCTTCTGAGCTAAGGAGCCCATGATATAATGAAGTAGTAGATAAGCACCCTGCCCTCGAGGAGCATGCAAGCCAGCAGGGGAGAGGAGACTGGGCACAAATAATCAGAAGTCAAGGGAGCAAATGACAAATACAAATGTAGTAGGAACTCCAGAAATTCAGAGGAGAGAGATCAAACCTCTGCTAGGAAAAACCATGAAAGGCATACGAGGAGGTTTTTGTTTTTTGTTTTGTTTTGTTTTGAAACCTGCCTAGCCCTTGAATGAAGGATGAGTTTGCCTTAGTTGAAAAATGGGGGAAATGATTTCTGGGTAGAAGAAGTGGGATGTCAAAGATCTGAATTGTGGAGATAGGTTCAAGGTACACTTAGGAAATAACCGCAAGACTATATGGCCTCACCGTATAGTGTTTACAAGAGGTAGAGAGGGCAAATGGAAAAGCAAGTTGGTCCCCATCTCTATGGTCCCTTCCACTCTAAGATTTGATAGTTCTATGACTTCATTTGATAGAAAGGGAACATCTGTGAAACACATACATACATACCTAGCCATGGGACCTTGGCTGTTAGAATCCTATAGTAATGATTCACCTACCAAGAAAGGTCCATTTCCTGTCCCTCCTACCATCTCAAATACTAGGGCTAGTTTTGACGAAGAAACAACACAGAAAAAGCATCATATCCTGCAGAGACCTTCATATTTTTCACAGTAGTGCTAACAAGAAGTGGAAGGGCAGAAGGAGAGAGCTAGCATTTCCCGAGCTTCTGCTGTGTAGCAGCCACTTGAACAGGGCTTTGATTTAAAATTCAGAACACCACCACGAGGGAGACATTATCAACCCTATTTTACTAGGGAGGAAACTGAGAGGCAGCACGGTTAGTCTGTTGGAGATCACACAGTTAAGGATGAGCTGGAACAACGGTTTCTGCTCTGGTTTCTCGGGCTCTTCCTATGACTCAGTTCCAGAGTGGCGGTGGGCGATTCGCACCCAGGCAGGCTGGCTCTAGCGCCTGCATGCCTATTGGCGATGCCATGATACCGGAGCCAAGCTGGACCTCTGTTCTCTCCTCTGTATTAGTCAAGGTCATAATAGAGACTGTAGGGTCTCCTCACGCCCCTTTCTTGAATGGAACCTGCAGAGTTTAATCATAAACCAAGACTCAGGGAAATCAGTGGATTTGGGCACCGACCACCGACCTCAGTCTTTTTTTTTTTTTTTTTTAAGGCTGTATGATTAATGGTGAAGAACTTCGGTGAGTGAATCTGGTGGTTTCAGATGTGTGCTCTGTGCCCATCTTGGCTAAGAGCGCAACTCCCATTGGCATCTCCACACTAGCTGCTCCCACCCCATAACTGAACACAGACCGTGTGCTTGTATGCAGAGGTTGAAAAAGTGTCAGAAACTTACATTGGAACCTTGGCCTTTTAGTAAGCGGTGAACATTTGCTTACATTTAAGACATCTCCATTAAAATTACTCTTGCTATCAACAACATATGGTGTTTATTTGTTTTTTTATCTGTTATATGTTTATTGTTTTTAAGTCAAATTATATATTTTCTTCAGAAAATTCTCCACGGTCAGAAGTGGCTGTGGATGGATGCTATTTGGTGATGCTACCCCCTTTCCTCTCCTTTTCCTCTACACCATTAAAAATTTCTTTGGAAATCAGGAGAAATCCCGTTAGTGAGTTTGGGTATTAGAGACTGACATAGGCAGGCTGCTGCTGCTTGGATTTCAAAGAATTTCCAGGATCCTGAGAGTCACATTCACAATAAGAAGAGAAGCCGGCAAAAGTACCCTGCAAGAGCTTGAAAAAGGCAGATTTGTTCAACCCATGGAAGATGTGCTCAGCCCACCTCCCCCTGCTTCTTCATACCCTTTCCCCCTGCGGTCTGATTCATCCCAGGGCCAATGGCTACAAACCTCCCAGGGCCCCGGGCTCTCATCCTGTGAGATTAGTCACATTCCTCAATCAGTTTTCCACAGGATGTCATGGTATTTAATAACTTGAGAAAAGTTTGGGACAGTCTGGAAAATTGAAAAAAATAAAAATAAGAAGAGCATGCATCCCCTGAAGGAGAGATGGGAGCAGGAGCTGACATTCCCACAGAGAGCTTCATGCTTTGCTTGGAAAACAGCTGTTCTTGGGAGCAGTGGAATTGGCTGAAGGGTGCACCTGATAAAGCAGGGGCCTGGGTTTGATGCCCACAGTCCTTTCTTATTTCTTGACTGGAGAACAGTTCTACACATTTTTTCTTAAAGGACATTCTTGGTCTTAATATAACAATCCATCCCAAGCTTGGCTGCTTCAACAAAGCCACTAGAGCAGAATGGTAAAGAGTGAAAGTTCTGGAACCAACTAGCCAGCTCTGCCACTTACTAGCCATGAGAACTTTGGCTAGCTACTTAATTTCTCAGCACCTCCATTTTCTCATCTGTATAACAGGGAAATAGGAGAGCCTATTTACCTAGGCTCTTATGAGCACTGAATGAGCTAATACTTGTGAAATACTATACCAAGGCTGCATCCCACATGGTAAGTACTTGTGACTTAGACCCAGATTCCTCCATGTAGGGCAGCCTAATGCATCTCATGCAGGCTTCCTTTCTGTTTCCATACAGAACAATATTAAAAAAAATACTTGTGAATTATAAAAGAGCCATTGGTCATATATTTATTATTCTGTAAGTTAATATTGTAGTCCCATTCAAATTCATATTCTATGAGTTTATTATTTAAGTGAATACTAAATGAGTACATGGCACATGGTAAGCACTGTAGAAGTTCCTGAAATAATATAAATTTAAATGTCTCGATGGGGGTGGGTCCAGTTTGCTGGGTCCTTGAGAACTGGGACTCTTCCCTGTGACATCTCCAGATCACGGCCACCTGAGTGTGTACAAAGTGCAGAAGAACTTAATTTCTCTGTTTTCAGGGAAGAGGTTTCCCTACAAGATCAAAGATTATTCAAATTGGAAGAATTTCAGAAAAAAAAGTCAAGGCAAGACAAAGAAAGACAAGATTAAGGCTCTGAGTAGGAGAGGGAGGAAGAAGGTGAGTGAAGAGAGCAGAGCAGGGGCCATGGAGCCCGTGACAACAACAAAGACAGGGAACATCCCTGACCGGGCTTCCCAGTGTGTTAAGAGCCAGGCCCCAGCAGACATTACTCAGAACTCTGAACATCTGCTCAGAAGGAACGACTCTGATAATATACACACTTCATATTAGGAGGCTGAGTCCAAGGGAATAAGCTTGAAATTCAAGCTCAAAATCTTTTTCCAAGTTCTTATTCAGAATATGACAAAGCTACTCCCTCACTACTATTTTCTGGCAGTTACGGGCTCTTCCTGGTTTCTACGCTTCCAAATCATAAATGGAGTTTACACAAATGATAGAAACATGACCTCCAAGCCTTCTGATTCAGGGTTTCCATGCTTGTGTACTCTTTGCTTCTCTTCAACATCGGGAAGCTGCAAAGACAGCTATTCCAAACACTCGGCTTACCCCAGTGTGCAAAGGTGTTCGTTCAGAGCCTGAAAGAATCTTCAGTCATGTGGGCCCCCTTTGCAAATGGGAGCCATGGAGCAGCAAGAGTTGGTAAATAACCCAGTACAAGGACTCCTGGCATCTGAGCAGGGGCATGCCTACCTCCACGGAAGCCACGGTCCCTGTCGCCCAATATGGTATTTTCTCTCTCTGCCATACCGCCCTCCAATTTATAGTCAATTAGTGTTTTATGAGGCTATAAAATTGAGAAAAGGAGGTCAATATAATACACGCTATGCTTGAGTAGTAAATTCCGACAAAGCTAATGATACTTTCAAAATTTTGGTCATTTATTCTGAGATGATGCACCACCTCCCTGTTGTCTGGTGGGGGGGTAATATTCTCTTTGAGTTCTCAAGGGATGCTCAGGCTGGGATGCAAGGCTTGGCAAGTGGCCTTGCTCACTCTCATTTGCAGTGGACATTTACAAGTCTCTCTGAGCGTCACAGTGATAGAGAGTGTCCATAAAACTAATCGGAATTGTCTGAGTTGGTCTGGAGCGTGGTCAGTTCCATTAGGCCAGGGCTCTGGGTTCCAACTTGATATAAATCTATGAGCTTGGTGGGCTCCAGCAAAGCACAGAAGGAAAATTCTTCCTCCTCCAAACTCCCTCCCATGCCATCCAAGTCATTTGGGTCAAATCATCCCTCTACTCCTCACTTGCTGTGTGACTTCTGGCAAGTGATTTAACCTTTATGAACCAGCTTCCTCTCCCATATCATGGAGAAAATGAGATCCCTGTGTCTAGTTTTGTGAGGAGTAAATGAACAGGTACTAAGCAAAGGGTCATTCCCTTCTTAGCTCTCCCACCCACTTTCCACCTTCCTACCGGAAGAGGATTCTTCTCTGGTTCACCCTGATGATAAAGTGCCTTGAAAGGAGCCTTACCCTTTTCCTGAGGTTCTTTCCATCATGCCACGTGTAGGAGGAACCACTGGAGTACTCGCTGCAGGTGCTCGAAAGGGACAGCTCACTGCTGCTGCAGCTGTTTCGAGGACAGAGATGACCAGGGATGACAACCCCCAAACCAGGGCATTTCAAAGCCCGGACTCCTGATTTTGCATTTGGCTGGCATTCCTAAAAAAAGCAGGAGAGCTCTGAGCAAGGGCTTTGCTTCGGGGACAGCGGATACCAAGTCAACATCATACTGAGGTAGAAAGGAAGGTAGCCCAGTGATGAGAAGCCCAGCTTTTGGGTCAGACAGACTAGGGGTTCCAATCTTGGCTCTGCCTCTTACTAACACACTAGGAGGGATTATTTAATCCCTTAGAGCTACATTTTTAAAAAAGTGAATAATGATAACACTGCCTACGTTATGGGGTTACTGCAAAGACCAAATGGGGTTCCAGATTAGAAGCATATTGCAAAATACCTGGCCTAAGTAGGTGCTTGATTATGATGAGCTGCCATCACCCTTAGGCAGAATTACCACAATGGAAGTTTCCTCCTTTATCCAGGCATACTGGTGAAAGAATCAGATCAATTTTAAGACACAACTAATAGTCCAGAAGAATGAAGACAGGGTAGCATCTTTGGCTGTGGGGTTCAAGAGCATGAGCACTAGACTGGGAGTCTAGCGACCTGGATGTCACATTGCCAGTGGTATGAGATATTGAGCAAAGAAATCATTTAACTTCCATGGACCACAAGGTCTTCCTTTGTAGGTGAGGGAGTTCTACCAGATTACTCCCAGGGTCCCCTATGGCTCTGACAGCCTCATTCCAAGTCAGGAATCAAAGGCCCAGGAAGCCATGGAAACAAGTGGAACACTAGGGCAGAATCATGAGGTTCTGCTGTAAAGGTTATAGAACTTTTCATATCAGCTGGTTGCCCAAATGATAAAAACTGTCACATTGACTAGATTTGGATTCCATGCAAAAGATCCAGGAGGTTAGAATTCTAGAGGGTCTGTAGAGGCACAGGCGACAGAATTGTAAACATCCAGCACATCTTGATAGCCACCTTCTCAGCCCCTAATGTAACAGATGAAGCTCCAAGAGCTGGACAAGCTAAATTAATTTAGCATCCTGATCACGAGAACCAAGTCTCTCCTTACAGTCTCATTCCACCCTCCTATCTATATAAAGCTTGTCTCGGAAAGTCTTTGATGGGGAACCATCTGTCTTTGTGTCATTCGCAGAATGGCAAAGCCTCTTAGTTATGCAATTTATTGACACCTTACAGGCGCCTTTAGTACCTGAGTACTTATCACTGTTCTCCAAATGCAATTCCAGCTGACGGTTCCAGCTGACCGTGACCAAACACCCACTTGAGGAAGGCAAGGCGTGCTGTCCTTGGAGTACTCGAGGTACATGCTAACCCCCCACGTAAGTACAGAGGGTATGTTTAATTTCAGCTCTAATCAATATCCATAATGCTTCACAAGGTTAGATGTTCAGTATCAGGCATCTGCCTGCTCTCAATATCTCATTTTTGCTGCAAAACCATCGCTTTAAGTGATCTAAAAATGCCAAGAAATTTTACTACTCTATTCTTGACCCCCTAGAAATCCGGCTCTGAAGCTCACAGAAAGAAGAAACTTGTCTTAAAATGGAGCATTCAGCAATATCTGTTGATTTATGACCTCATTTACTGCTGCACGTGGCTTGGTTAAGGCGAGTTTGTATTTGTGTCGCGACCGATGCCTACAGGCAGCCGTGCCGTTGTGCGGGAGGGCCCGACACTGACGCATCAGCCACTGCACACATCTGGAACAAGCTTCCAGAAGTCACACATCATGCTCTACTTCTACTTGCGTGCTTTCCACGTTCGCCATCCCCAAACCTCTCGCCTATTTCGTCGTTTGATTAAGCGGCGTGGTGGTTTTCTTTAGGACTGCCTCTGCTCTGACGGGTAGGTCTGTCTCCAGAGAGAGACTGTGTCTATGTCCTGCGCGAGGCCATCCAGATCTAAACTTTTCTAGAAAATATGCCGTCTTCACGCTCTGCACAGCTTCTGGTTACAGCTTGGGCTCCACCTTTTCCCAAAGTACTGAAGCTTATGTGATTTCCCTCTCTCTTCCCCACCTGTTCCTTCCCACCACACCTCTCAACATGGTATCTGTTTTTACAACTCAACTCAATTCGCAGGCCTCTTTCTACACACAAGCATCGGATTCTCCCAGTTGCTGCCCCTGTGTGTACCTCCGGGATGATGTTGGATTCAGAGAACAGGAAATTTGACCTCAGAGCTAGCAAAGGAAGGAACTGCTGCTGCTGCTGCCTTGACCATGACCTTGAGATGCCCAGATGGGATGGAGGATACTTCGGGGAGGTGGGGAAGGCCCATCAGTGCGGTGTAGAGGCAGGTGGGGTTGGGGGTGGCAAGCAGAGAAGTGCAGGCTTCTCGGACTTCAGCGTGCACATGTATCATGTGCGATCTTGCTAAATGCAGATACTGATTCAGGCATTCTGAGGTGGAACTGGAGATGTAGTATTTTGGGGACACTCCCAGATGCTTTGATGCTGCTGGTCTAGGACTTTGAGTAGAAAGCCCTGAGGGGAAGCTATGAGACGGGTCTACCTCCTATGTGGGTTACTTGGTAGCGAGTTGTGTCACCTCACAGGCTGACCTGGACTGTGTGGAGCAGGATGAAGGGAATGGTCGAAGCCTACCCATGGGCCAGTGCACTGGGTGTGTGTGTGTGTGTGTGTGTGCACACGCGCGTGCGCGTGGCGGGGCAATTACCGAGTAATTCCTTACAAAGAAGAGGGCTAGGGGCGCCTGGGTGGCTCAGTAGGTTAAGCATCTGCCTTCTGATCAGTTCATGATCTCAGGGTCTTGGATTGAGCCCCGCCTCTGCCTCTGGCTCCCAGCTCAGCAGAGAGTCTGCCTCTGCTTCTCCCTCAGCCAACCCCCTGCTTGTGTGCATGTACTCTCACTCTCTCTCAATTGAATAAATAAAATCTTAAAAAAAAAAAAAAAGAGGGCCAGTCCTCCATACTGGGACATTGTATTTCCCCCACCTTAAACAATCAATGTTTGAATTTAATAAGGGATCCAGAATCTCTGACATCATGGCTGCAAGGCGAGCTCCTTTTTCCTGCAGTTTCCTTCATCTGCATATGATTATCAAGCAGGATTATCTACTGCAGTGAATAACTAACTGCTCTGTGGTTGAGTGCTTGAACTCTAAAGCCATTTACTAGGCTGAAATCCTAGCTCTTCTACTTACTAACTCCTTGACCTTGGGAAAGTTACTTAACCCTTCCATGCCTCAATTTCTTTCTTTGTAAATGGAGATGAGGAAAGCACAGACCACCTAAGATCCCTGTGAAATCTGAACTGCCCCTCGCATATAGTAATGCTTAGTAACATTCAGGTGTTGCTACTATTAGTATTTTTTTAGATACACATGTCTTGACTCTCAAACTAAATCCTAAGTTTATAGTCTCCCAAAGAGACGCTATATTGTGGGCGCCTGGGTGGCTCTGTCGTTGAGCGTCTGCCTTCGGCTCAGGTCATGATCCCAGAGTCCTGGGATCGAGCCCCGCATCGAGCCCC